TTTCGTCTGTACCTTTCGCACCTATCTACTGCAAGTATTCGCGCGACACATAGGGGCTCTGCCGAATTACCTGAGCGTGTGGTGTAACTAGTCATGAGTTTACGCGGGTTTACTCTGGCTGACCGAAGGACATCAAGCATCAGCTGACGATATGACGTCACTGGTATTCGACTATACTCCAGGCGCGACAGGCCATGTTCCATCTCTACCTTTCGTACCTGTCTCTTGGAAGTATTGGCGTGCTGAATGAAGGCTCTGTCGAGTCTCCTGAGTAAGTAACGTCACTGGTCAAGAGCTTTTTACGGGACCTTTTGTACCCCCAAACGGTATAATGTATCAGCTGACGATATGACGTTACTGATGTCCGACTTAACATCAGGCGCGACAGGCCATGTTCTATCTTTACCTTTCGTACCCGTCTATTACAAGTACTGACGTGCTGAATGAAGGCTCTGTCGAGTCTCCTGGGTGTGTAACGTTACTGGTCATGAGTTTTTTCTGGCTCCTTGGAACCCTCTATGGGGAAAAATGCATCAGTTGACGACGTGATGCCAATGGTGTTTGACTTAACATGAGGCGTAACAGGTCATGTTCCATCTTTGCCCTTCGTACCTGTAAAGTATTGGTGCGTTAAATGATGGCTCTGCCGAGTCACTTGAGTGTGCGACGTCACTGGTCATGAATTTTTACGACTATTTTTGGCTGAGCGAAAGCCATAAGGCATCAGCTAACGAAATGACTTCACTGGTAGTCCACTGAGTGTGTGACGTCACTGGTCATGAGCTTTTACGGGCCTTTTTTGGCCGAGTTCAGGCCATTAGGCATCAGATAACGTTATGGCGTCACTTGTATTCGAATTAACATCAATTGCAATAAGCCATGTTTCATCTTTACCTTTCGCATCTGCCTACTGCAGGTATTCGTGCGCTACAAAAAGGCTCTGTCGATTCGCCTGAGCGTGTGGTGTAACTGGTCATGAGTTTGTGCAGGTTTACTCGGGCTGACTGAAGGACATCAAGCATCAACTGACGATATGACGTCACTGGTAATCGACTAAACTCCAGACGAATCATCTGAGTGGGTGACGTCGCTGGTCATGAGTTTATACGGATTCACTTGGGCCGCCCAAGGCCACAAAGCAACACCTCCCGTGAAGCATCACAGGATGATGTGTCGTCACTGTTATTCGACTTAACATCAGGTCCAACATGCCACGTACTTTCTTTACCTTTCGTACCTGTCTATTAAAGGTATTGACGTGCTGAATAAAGGCTCCGTCGAATCTCCCGAGTTTGTGACGTCACTGGTCACGAGTTTTTATGGGCTCTTTTGGACCCATTATAGGTTGTAATGCATCGGCTGACGGCATGACGTTACTGGTGCTCGACTAAACATCAGGCGCAACAGGTCATGTTCCATATTTGCCTTTCGTACCTGGCTGCTGCAAATATTCGCGTGCTATATGAAGGCTCCGCCGAATCACCTGAGTACGTGACGTCACTGATCATCAGTTGGTAGGAGGTCACTTGGCCACCTATGGCTACGAAATTCCGCAGCAGAGGCGGGAGATGCACCATAGTTAAGCACACTAATTTTATTGTGCGCACCATTAAGTAGCAGCTTCAAACGCAACGGGCTGTTTCAACGACTAAAATTTTGAACAAACGTAAACACAAAACAAAGGTGATCCCAGCCCACAAACCGACGTATATGCAAAGCTATTCCGCCCGACATCACAGGATGCGCCCCTGAGCAGCTACGGTCCGGAATGCCCTGATGGCTAAATAATAAAGGGCGCCGCCTAGCGGTCATAAGTCTGGGCCACAGACCGACTATCAGTGACGTCATATGGTCAGATGATGCTTGATGTCCTTCCGTCAGTCCGAGTAAGCCGCGTAAACTCATGACCAGTTACACCACATGCTCAGGTGATTCGGCAGAGCCTTTATGTAGCGCGCGAATACTTGCAGTATAGAGGTGCGAAAGGCAAAGATGGAACATGGCCTGTTGCGCCTGAGATTAAGTCAAACACCAGTGACGTCATATCGTCAACTGATGTCTTGTACCCTATAGGTACAAAAAAGCGGCCCATAAAGGACTCATGACCAGTGACATTACACACTCAGGAGATTTCACAGAGCTTTCCTTACGCATGTCAATGCTTACAATAGACAGGTACGAAAGATAAAGACGAACATGGCCTGTCGCGCCTGGTGTTAAGTTGAATACCAGTGACGTCACATCGCCAGATGATGCTTGATGTCCTTCAGTCAGCCCGAGTAAACCCGCGTAAACTCATAACCAGTCACACCACACGCTCAGGTGATTGGGCAGAGCCTTTATGTGGCGCGCGAATACTTGCAGTAGATAGGTGCTGAAGGTAAAGATGAAACTTGACATATTGTACCTGATGCTTAATTGAATACCAATGACGCCATATCGTTGCCTGATGCCTAATGGCCTTAAGTCGGCCGAAAAAGGCCCGGGAAAACTCATGACCAATGGCGTCACACACTTAGTGGATTACCAGTGACGACACATCATTAGATGATGCCTTATGGCTTTCACTCGGCCAACAATAGCCTGTAAAAACTCATGACGACGCACTCAGGTGATTCGACAGAGCCATCATTAGGCTCGCCGATACTTTAACAGGTGCGAAAGGCAAAGATGGAACATGACATGTTGTGCCTGATGTTAAGTCGAACACCAGTGACATCATATCGTCAGCTGAAGCATTATACCATATAGGGGGTTGAAAAGAGCCCGTAAGAGCTCTTGACCATTGACGTCATATAACACGCGAATGCTTGCAGTAGGCAGGTACGAAAGGTAAAGATGGAACATGGCCTGTTGCGCTTGATGTTGAGTCGAATACCAGTGACGTCATATCATCCCGCGATGCTTCACAGGATATGATGCTTTGTTGCATTGGGGTGCCCAAGTGAGCCTGTATGAACTCATGACCAGCGACGTCACGCACTCAGATGGTTCGGCACCACCTCGATATAGCGCGCGAATGCTTGCAGTGAACAGGTACGAAAGGCAAAGATAGAGCATGGCCTGTTGCGCATGACATCTAGACGAAAACCGGTGACGTCATATGGTCAGCTGATGTGGTGTGGCTTACGGTAGGTTCAAAGCAGTCTATATAAATTAATGGTTAGTGACGTTACACACTCAGGTAGTTCGGCAGAGCCTTCCTTCAGCATTCAAATGCTTGCAATGGACAGGTACCAAAGGTAAAGATGAAGCATGGCCTGTCCCGCCTGAATTTTATTCGGATACCAGTGACGTCACATCTTCAGTTAATGTCGTATGACCTTTCGTCGGCCCAAAAGAGGCCGTAAAATCTGATCACAAGTGACATCACACACAGTCGAATGCCAGTGACGTCACATCATTGGGTCATGCTTTACGGCTCTCAGTTGGCCCCCAAAGATCCATAAAAATGCATGACCAGTGACGTCACACACTCACGTGATTTGGTAGCTTTTATTCATCACGCCAGTGCTTGCGGTAGACAGGTACGAAGGTAAAAATGAAGCATGACCTGTTGCGACCAACATTTAGTCGAATATCAGTGACGTCACGATACCTGGTGATATTTCACGGAACATGATACACCGCGGCCGTGGGGCCTAAGTGCACTCGTATCAAGTGATGATTAGTGACGTCACGCATTCAGGTGATTCGGTCAAGCTTTCATTCGACACGCAAATGCTTGCAGCAGACAGGTACGAAAGGTAAAGATGGAATAAGGCCTGTTGCGCCTGATGTTTCATTGAATGCCAGCGACGACATATCGTCAGGTGATGGTTTACGGCATTCATTACACCCAAAAGATCCCTAAAGCCTCACAACCAGTGACGTCACACATCCAGTCGAATACCAGTGACATCATATCGCTAGCAAATGCCTTGTAGCCCTCAGTTGGCCCAAAAGAACCCCGATCGATGGAAACCCATTTTCAGTGACGTCACTACGTCGGCTGATACCTGACAGCATTTCTCCATCACGGCAGTACAGGAACCCTGCAGCCAGCGTAGCTCTCCCCACCGTCGGCAATACAGGTACCCAAGTAAAAAAAAGCCGACCGAGCCTTGGTCTGTCGTTCTGCAGTTTGTTCCGCTGGAGTTACGACTCGCCCACCTACCAGGTGATGAGGCAAGCTGTTTCCCATATAGTGGTATAGGATACACATGCAACCACCTGTCCGCTGGCTCGTTTACTGCAAGCTCTCGACGTAAGCTATGTTATTTATGTTTATGATCAGTGCGCATCGTATTTAATTAAACCCACACGTACAAGCGGGTGGGGTACGGTTTAACAATACACCTACGGCGCAGGCAAACGAAGCGTTGATTTCGGATGATCAACTCGCGCACTTCTCCAAAAACCGTCGAGTCGGATCGGGTTTCCCGTAACTCGCCCGGTTTACCTTAGTTCGTCCAGTTTGCCCGTGAGTTTACGCCATTTTACAGCGGACGCCCCTGTTTCCATTTACACATGCCCGCCAATGATTTAACACGGGCGCCGCCGTTATAGCATATGAAGTATCTATATTTACTTCCATCGAGAGCAAGATTTTAAAAGACCATGATTAATTGAAAGGCCATGGAGTGCCCCCGTTGACGTCAACCGACGAATCGCAATGTAAGTCACGAGAATAACAACGGCCTGGTTGAAACTGCGTTGTATCAGCTGGATGTGGGCTGAAAGTTCTTGATGTACTCTGATAAATGGACGAAATATTAAATAAGAATTTAGTTTTGTTTAATCCAAAAATGTTCTGAACTCATCGTACATGTAAAATATCTGTAAAGTTATCTCATGATCGAGCGAGATTTCGTGAAATTAAAAATAGCTCTTGTGAATATTTGTTTACGTTTTAAACATCATTGGCCCTGAGAGAAATACAGGGAGGATGTGATGGCGGGATGGGTTGTCTGTACTAACTATGCCGGGATCCAGCGTGCCATACTAGGAGAAGTGGACATAACTGTAAGCCCAGGGCTGGAGGAAGCCCATAAGAGGTATAGTCTGAGTTTTATATTAATCATAGGTGGCTGTGTTCTGGAAGGCATTGTTGGCCCAGGCCACCTACATGAAGATGAGGGATGATGCCCCTCTTTCCTACCATGATGGCTTATGAGGATGATTCCTTCAGTAACCCCAAACCTATTTCCATTCAGAAGCTGGTTCCAAAACAAGCTTCAGTTCAACACCAATTTAAGGTAGGGAAACTGGGTTTTGCATGCTGCTCATCCTTTGTACGTAAGTGTGTACCTACCTTGGTTGTTGGCTGAGACATGTCTGTGGTTGGAAGTTGGGCATAAGATGGCTATGGGTTGAGCGTATCTTGTATTTATTGGAAATTGTGTGGAATGACTTGAATGCCACCACTTGCAACTTGATGTAAATCTTTATCATAGATCTCAGCCTGCTACTGGGTTTGCCTTACTATGTCTGTGAACTGCTGCTCTTTGCACATAACCAGGAATAGTCAGGTTTGGCCAAGTTACAACTCTGGTACAATCTGGTCAAGTAGGTATTAATCATGGCTATTTGTATTTTTATCACAAAGTCAGTATTAATATCTTACAATATTATTTTTAGCTTGTGAATTTTTTTTTTTTAAAAAGCTGCTGTTTCTGTGCTTGATCTACCTAGGAAGTATAGTGTTCCAGTTCTATATAAGAGTTCTCCTCCTTTGTAGTGAGACATAACTGCTGAAGATCCTTTTGTGCTATACTTTCATACTACATGGGTACACAGTGTGAAGATGTTTATGAAATGCTGAGTGCTATCATTCCCAGTGTCCATGCTTTGATTAGCTTAAAAGGTTTCCTTGAAAATGAGAAGAATGGTGTGGAATCAGAAGGCTTATCAGCTTATCTTTAGCATATGTGGTGATTCTAAGCAGCATCTAATATCCATAGTGGGAGTGGGTCTGGAAACCGGGCATTTGGAACAGAAGCACCCATTTAAGCTGCTTGAATCGCCTTTTGGAGCATATGCAAACTTAAGAGACTCAGAATAGCTGATAGTGAAGATGTTCTGCTGATGCTGCAATTATGGGCTCTCATCATCTGCACCAGAAATGTGTGAAATGAAAAGCAATTCTCTGCCTGCGCCAAACTTTAGTCATCATTTTAAATCATACCATGTGGTAACCTTGATATCTCAGGCTGTGCCGTGTTTCAGCACTTGCCAGCGCTGCAGCTGCGCTCTGCCACAGAGCGGGCACGGGCTGACCACCAGCTGGAGCAGACCACCCAATCCCTGATCCAGGCACTAAACCTGCAGCAAGGGCATGAGCTGACTGGCAGGCACCAGCATAATGCTCACTCTGCATCACACACTGACCCTGGTGAGTCACTTACTGGCTTCTGACAAATGTAACACGGGTTGGTATAAGGTCAAAGTTCTGGCTTGAAAATCAATTTGATGGTCAAGCAATGGCACCAAGCTGAAGTTGGAGGCAAAGCTGATGGTTTTGAACCTCAGAGCTGGAAAGTCGATGCCCAAGCTGGTTGCTCCATGCTTTTATAATATGACTGAACCTGTGCTTCCAAGCAGCTTGAAACATTGTGCATGCAAAGCCAGAGCCAGTTGTTAGCGGCTTCAGTTTTGAGAAGAGCGAAGCCAAAGCCAAACCTACCAGCATAAAATATTTTGGTTGAAGCCTGAGCTGATTTTGTGTGCAAGGTCATTTTGTAAAACCAGGACCATTTTGGTGTCTGCCAAAACAATTTAGGATCAGAAATCTCATCTTGTTTTATGAGCATATGAATGTTCAGTATTACATACTATGTATTGTGTATGGAAGATTTTTGGACTGCCTTGATGTTAAGCCCTCTTAGTGTCACAGCTTCAAAAGGTTGCGTGGCTTATAGAGGTAGCGGGACAGACTGGAAGTTTTTGTGAAGTTAAGTGCAACAGCAGTAAAACAAGGCACAGTGAAAAAGCTTCAGCTAGCAGTTCAAGATTGCATAAAAATTAAGCTGTATACATAATTTGAAATTTGTTCAGAGCTGAAGCAAAAGCCAGCTGGTACAAATGCTACAAAGTGGAAGCCAAAACCGAAATTAACTGTTTGAAATTGTGTAAAGGCAACACAGAAATGTGGCCTCGCGAAGCTGACACTGAAGCCAGCTTCAAACTCTTGTCTGGCATGAGTGCATATGTTGAATGGACTTGAATGAGGTACATATGCAGCTTTCAGATGGTTCATGTTGAGTGATGAGTCTACATCTAGGTTTACCTACATGAGTCCATAAAGCCCTGCTAGCTTTACCCCAGTTTGCCAGTGACGATCGTTGTTTGGTATTTACTCAGATGTCACATTGGTGCTGCTTATCAGAGACCTATGCGGATCTACGCCTTTCAGCAAATGGTCCGAATTGCAGCCACGCACTCTAGATGTTATCTCATGTTTCCTCCTCAGAAAACTGGTCGCGGTGTGACCGCGCAGTCGAAACGCCCATTGCCCCAATATCCAGCTTACTAACCCTTTCCATTGTGTAACAGAGCGGGCTCAGAGCGACTCGGAGCTATCCAGCATCCTGTCCAAGCAAAGAAATGAAACATGCGACTCGATCCAGCATATCCCAACAGCATCAACGCTCCTCAGTGAACAAGGTAATGGCAGAGCAGCCCAAGCCTTTTACCGGTGAGACGGTGGCTCACGTTTGACTGCCATTGTAGTCTGCGTCCCAGTCATATCGTCAGGCATGATGGGCTATCACCAGGATTTTGCCCATATTGTGTCATCAGAATCATTCACATACTTTCCCGCGGCGGAGCGGAAACGGTGCTCATTCAATGGTGTGCTCTGGATTAAGATAGCGTTTAGATACGTCAAATACGTCGACAAAAGACGTAGCCACAGCTATACCGGCAGGAGTTTGTTTCACATCGTTTTCAGGGCCAAGCCTGCATCAACTTTCTGCTGAGCGCAGCAATTGCGTGACATTGACCTCCACTGCAGCACGTCAAAGTGCGGGCAACGGTCTGGTCTGTAATGCGTCGTAAATCATGTAATTTAAGAAAGGGTGGTGCGACCTTGCAACCATCGCAAAGCGTGATATGTACGGAGTCAGGCAGGCCAGTCATCTGGCACAAGGACGTTCACTGTACCGATGTAGGGAGCCAGGCAGCCATATCGCAGTCCCCTGAACCACCCAGTGCTGCCCCTTGAGCGGCATATCGAGACACCTGACCCAGACTTGTGTGTTGTGACTGCTGCTGGACAGGTCTGCAGGCTGTGATGCCAGTTACACTACGTTATCTGTGAATCGACCCCATCTGTGTTAGCTAAGTGCAGAGCAGTGCCGAGGTCTTAACCCTTTTCAACTTTATTAAATTTCGATGATGGGCACCATTCGACCCGTCTTTGTTTCGGTGATTTGTTGATAACAATGACCAGCAAGACGTTAGCTTACGGGAAGTGCGGCGGCCTAGCGGGCCAGGTCTGGCCGCTCCAGTTGAAAAACTTTCCTGGAGCTCAGAGAACGGTCACCGGTCCTGCGGACTCACTGGTAACAAAAACCTGACGACGTGCAGACGCGAGTGCAGCTTCATGCAGATGTCACACTAACGTAAAAGGAAATAACTGGCAAATGTGCACTCCATGCTACCTAGAAATGAGGAAAGGTCTGCAGTATGACGACCTGAATGCATCGCGTGGGCAGAGTTATTCAATCTGTCGCAGATTCCGGACGCGTAGAATCATCGTAATGCATAATTTATATGCTCCCAGTGGTGCCAGTTTTTTTTTATTTCGGGCCCGAGGGGGACATATTGGGACGCAGATTGCATAGACGCCGCGACTGGTAACATCAAGGCCAAGATGCCTAGAAAGAAAGGCTGTAGAGAAAGGGTCACCGTTCGACGCAACTGTCTGAGTCCTTTGATCGTGCTGGCTAAGCACCATGAACTCCGTCCCTTCTCAGGCAGCCGCTCCATTGAACTTTACTAGACACTGCGTCACCAATCGTGACCCATGGCCCTCAGTTTCTCGGCGGCCGCGCTCGGTGCCCCACATGACCCGTGTCGATGCCTCTCGCCAGGCACGCAGACGGCGCCGTCGCGGGCCGGCCGGTCGGCCGTCAGCCAGCTGCCGTCGCTGCACCTGCTGCGGCCGCGCTCGGTGCCCCACATGACCCGTGTCGATGCCTCTCGCCAGGCACGCAGACGGCTCCGTCGCGGGCCGGCCGGCCGGCCGTCAGCCAGCTGCCGTCGCTGCACCGTCCGCGCTCGGTGTCCCACGTGACCCGTGTCGGTCTCACCAGACACGCAGACGGCTCCGTCGCGGGCCGGCCGGTTGGCCGTCAGCCAGCTGCCGTCACTGCACCGGCCGCGCTCGGTGTCCCACGTGACCCGTGTCGGTCTCGCCAGGCACGCAGACGGCGCCGTCGGGGGCCGGCCGGTCGGCCGTCAGCCAGCTGCCGTCGCTGCACCTGCTGCGGCCGCGCTCGGTGCCCCACATGACCCGTGTCGATGCCTCTCGCCAGGCACGCAGACGGCGCCGTCGCGGGCCAGTCGGTCGGCCGTCAGCCAGCTACCGTCGCTGCACCTGCTGCGTACCCTGCAGGCGCGTCTGGTGGAGGCGCTGCAGCAGGTGAACGAGCTGCGCTCGCAGGGCCCCTGGCAGGAGCGCGTGCTCGACCAGCTCGACTGGAACCGCAAGCTGCTGCGCATGGAGGAGTTCCACACCAAGATCAGTCGTGAGATGTACATGCTGACGCGGCAGGTGAGCGCGGGGGGGGGGGATGCGGGGAGGGCGGCGGGTAGGGCTTGAGGCGCAATAGGGAGTTGTTCTGGACGCCGCGGGTGCGTTAACGTCTTGTCGAATGTGCCATAGTTAAACATACGGCGCGGAGGAACAGTTATATGTCGTTACTATGGAAAAGAATGTGTGTTGCATCTTTTGGTCTCTGTGTACATACGACACCATGCGGAAGAAATCATCGGAAATGTCGACTCTTGTGACCGGATCTAACACTCCAGCCATCAAACCTGAAGGAACTGGGCCTACCAGGTCTAACAATTTTGTTTTCCTGGGCCGATCCGATGTTATTTTGTCAAAATGCAGCTTGAACGATTAGCATTACATCAACTCAAGCATTGTCACTTCTGAGCTATCTCTTCGGCCGTAGCGCAATAGAAATCAATACCACAGTGATGAAAGTATCAATGTTGCGTACTCGCTGCCCGCATGGCCAGCGCTAAGGCCAAAGCCTCGTAGCTTTGCGCGGCGCAAATATAAAACTGCAGGCAAAGGCAGATAATGAGAACACAGACCAGTTTTATACACACTTAACTCAAATACGATTTTCCGACTGTTGCAGTTCCGTTGGCTAGTGCCACGCTAATTTGAGTGATAGAAAACAGTTAACACTGCCAAGTATTTCAGTTTTCCCCTGACCTGTACACACGCACCATCTGTTTAAGAACCGTACCATCTGGTTGTCACCCTGGGGTATCAGCAGGACGAGGACACGGGCTCTGGTGTGGGGTGAATGAGTGCACTCGCGCCGTTCGATGTCTTGTCTGCACCTGTTGGTCAATGTCTCTGTCCAGCCGCCCAGCTGACCGGTACACGCAGATGCCTAGATGGCATGCAGTATGGCATGTAGTCTGGATAACATGTAGCACAGATTTTACACAGATAACATGTAGCACAGACAGCACCGGTGCACACAGATGCCTAGATGCATGCACTATAGCATTTAGTCTGGATAACATGTAGCACGTACTCAGTTGTTAACCATTGTTAACATGTCGTGTTTTTCAGGTCGATCTGGTGATGGATAATGTGTGCGGCATCCCGCAGTCCCGGGTGACGTCATCCGTCAAAGGTGACGTCATCCGGAAGCTGGTGCGAGCCCATCGATCAGCACTCAGGGTGACACAGGTAACGGCGGGCTTCCATTTTGTATCGATACACTCGAAAATCGTGTCTGTTCGACGCAGATGACCATGACATTAGTTGACGCATGTTTGTCTAGAGAGAAAAAAAACAACAAAACGATTGTTTTTGTGTGCAATTGCCAAGAACTGATAAATACCGTGTCCGTTTAAAGAGTTGGACACACCAGGGTTTTAAAATGTTGTATTTCCAAGAAGAGGAAGACATTGCTGTTCCAAAAAGCGTCTTTTGAACCTTAACAAATGCGGAGCGACTGAAATATAATCACTGTTGTCCTTTGTCAGCGGCCGTCTGTAACGTATTAACCTGCACAGTGATTGATGACCGACGCTGTGATGCACTCACCTGCCATAGTGGCCATGCTTAGTCCAAAATTTTGTAGAACTGTTACAGTGTAAAGAGAAAACTGACCAAAAGAGAGGTGCCACCTTGATCAGGTGAGCATGTCCATGTAATAGTTATCGTAATACACACGTAATAGTTATCGGTGCAATCAATTCCTTTAGCAGCCTGCTGGTTGCTAGAAGAAGGGCCCAGCAATGCCACTTGTTTCATTATTCACCAACGCTAATCACGATGATGCACCACTCGACAGCCTCTCACTACACGTGGTGCCGAGCGATTAAAGGGATCTGCTGCCCGCGGCATTCGACGAATCCGGGCCTCGCGTCAACGGCCGGCACGCTACCTGTGCGCCCCTGACACCGCTGTCCGTGCCCGGCAGGCGTTCGTGCAGAACTACTGGGACGGCTCTCTGGACGGTCAGCAGGCCGCCCGCTTCCTCGAGCTGCTCTCCGTCTGCAGGAACCTGGTCGACATCTGCGCCCACCTCGGCATCCGCTTCTCGGACATCTCCGACATGCCCGAGGTTGGTCTGTCGACGTCCTTCGGCGCGTCCCGGTGTCGAACAGCTGATTCGCTTCGGCCCCAGCTGTCCGCTCCGCTGATTTAGTTGTGAGGTCGCGGCCTGTGCGATACAGACCCGCCTCGCCTCGCCTCGCCTCGCCTGGCCTCGTCTCGTCTCGTCTCGTCTTGTCTCGTCTTGTCTCTTCTCGTCTCGTCTCGCATCGCCGCGTTTCGGCTGACCGGACCCGCACTCCCTGCAGCGGCTCGCCTCGCTGGTCGGCCAGCACGTGACCACGGCCGGCGACGTCGGCTCCCTCATCCGCGAGATGGCGCTGGGACGCTTCGGCCCGGCAGCCGAGCGGCGCCGTCGTCAGCTGCGGCCGGCAGAGCGGGTCGGCCACTCCGGCGCTCGCCCGCTCCGCCACCACCAGAAGGTCAAGGTCAGTTGTGTCCGCTTGTAATCGTTCCGATGAAGGTCAATCGCTTGGAGGTAGCAGTCCCTCAAGCAGAACTAGAAGGCCAATGTTATGTCCGGCTTGTGGCCATAAAGGCATCATCATGTCGACGTCAAGCGCTAGGGCTGGCGGTCCCTCAGGCGGAACCAGAAGGTCAGTATCCATTATGTCCGGTTTGTGACCGTACGAGCATCATCAGATCAAGGCCAATCGCTTGAAGCTGGCGTTCGCTCAGACATCACCAGGCTAGGCTCAGTACGTTGGAGCTGACGACTGACATAAGTCATCCCAAGTTCGTCGTCATGGTCGCTGCTGCCGCTGTGTCAGGTGCGGTTGTGCAGGTTATCGGCATGGCAGAATAGGAAATACCATTTGACCACAAATGCTTGAATTCCAACATCTTCATTTGCTAGGCTCTTGCGAGACCAACGAAAAGACTGGACTCGTGGGTTGCCAAAAAAAACATCAAATTTGCGACAGTTTTGCAGGGCAAGGTCGCATGTTTCCAAAGTATTATTCGTTGACCGCATAGCACATCCCACGTAAGTGCGGCTGATTTTGACGCGGTCCGTGTGGCGTCACTAAGTCTTCATATATGTGATTACCAGCCTGTTGTATCCCAGTCGACTATAGAGCGACTGATATCGTCCAAGACTGGTGAAAAGTCGTCGGTGAGAAGCGCCCCACCTGGCCGCAAAGTGAGCCGACCCTCCAGAGGAAGACGGCCCGACTCGGCTCCTCACAGTACACCGAAGGTGAGATGTCACGCGGGCCCGTGGACTGTGTTAGTCAGGTCAAACGTGCTGGCATCCCTTCGCCGAGGGAGTTGAATCATAAAAACATCAAGATGCCAATCATGTACCAGAAAATCGTAAGGCGTTCGGTCGAGATCGAAATTTCCCTAAAGTCGCCCACACTATGGTAAATCGCTTAAAATCTCACCGACCGTTTTGCTCCAAATTCGTCAAGTAGATCAAGCATCCGTTGAAAAGTCGCGCCTCAGACAGGGCGGTGTGCTGTGCGCCTGCAGCCGGTCCCAGTTGAGCCCGCGCGCCCGCGGCAGGCGCCGCCGGCTCCGGCCCTGACGAGCCGCCCGCCGCTGACGCCGCTGCCGGAGGAGGACGACTCGGGCTCGTCGGCCGCCCCCCGTGACCCGCTGGACGGGCTGGCCGCCGCCGTGGAGCGGGCCGTCGGCCGTGCGCTGGCCCGCGTGGCCACGGACCCGGCGCTGACGCGGCGAGCGGCGCAGCGCCGGCGGTCGGACGGCGCCGCGCGCCGGGCGGACCGCTCCGGGGACACGCCGGCCGGCCCCGGTCACCAGGCGGACGGCTCCGGCGCCGCGGCTGACGGCGGGACGGGCGCTGCAGCGGAGGTCAGTCGGATTGTGGCGTGGTATGATCCCCGCTCCCTGAAAGCCCAGTGTCTGACTCAAGACTCACCGCTCAGTAGGCCGGGTTCGATCTGAAGCCAGCCTCTCCAAATTCGCGTTTTCGCGGGCGGGTTCGAACGCGTCCTTGACGGTTCGGACCCTATCTGCTGCTGCTGGGTGCGATGGACGCTTAGGGTCTGTATCTCTGTAGCGCGGTCCGACTGTGTGACGTGTGACGTTCGACGTAACCTGCGAGCGATGGACGCTTACGGTCTGTAGCTCTGTAGCTCTGTGGTGCGGCCCGACTCTGTGCCGAGTGACGTTCGACGTAGTCTGCGAGCGATGGACACGTTCGGTCTATAGCTGTGTGGCGCGGTCCGACTCTGTGCCGAGTGACGTTCGACGTAACCTGCGAGCGATGGACGCTTACGGTCTGTAGCTCTGTGGCTCTGTGGCGCGGCTCGACTCTGTGCCGAGTGACGTTCGACGTAGCCTGCGAGCGATGGACACGTTCGGTCTATAGCTGTGTAGCGCGGTCCGACTGTGTGACGTGTGACGTTCGACGTAACCTGCGAGCGATGGACGCTTACGGTCTGTAGCTCTGTAGCTCTGGCGCGGCCCGACTCTGTGCCGAGTGACGTTCGACGTAGTCTGCGAGCGATGGACACGTTCGGTCTATAGCTCTGTGGCGCGGCCCGACTCTGTGCCGAGTGACGTTCGACGTAACCTGCGAGCGATGGACGCTTACGGTCTGTAGCTCTGTGGCTCTCTGGCGCGGCTCGACTCTGTGCCGAGTGACGTTCGACGTAGCCTGCGAGCGATGGACACGTTCGGTCTATAGCTGTGTAGCGCGGTCCGACTGTGTGACGTGTGACGTTCGACGTAACCTGCGAGCGATGGACGCTTACGGTCTGTAGCTCTGTAGCTCTGTGGCGCGGCCCGACTCTGTGCCGAGTGACGTTCGACGTAACCTGCGAGCGATGGGCGCCGCCCGACACGGCCCCTGCGCGCCGTGGACGACACCTGACGGAGCTGCGCGTGCGGCAGTCGCGGCAGGCGGCCGGCGGTGGCGCGACGCTGGACGAGGCGACCCGGAGCCACCTGCGCCAGGTGCTGGCACGGCTGGACGAGATGCAGAGGGAGCGGGACGTCATCCGACGCCGCTGGCAGCCGCTCACCGACGCTAGGTGAGAGGCACCGAGCGGGGGCTAGTGAAAACTGCTCACCGACGCTAGGTGAGAGGCGCCGAGCAGGGGCTAGTGAGAACCGCGCACCGAGGCCAGGTGGGAGGCGCCGAGCGGGGGCTAATGAGGACCGCTCACCGACGCCAGGTGAGAGGCACCCGAGCGGGGGCTAGTGAAAACTGCTCACCGACGCCAGGTGAGAGGCGCCGAGCAGGGGCCGGTGAGAACCGCCCACCGAAGCCAGGTGAGGGTCGCCGAGCGGGGGTCAGTGAGAACCGTTCACGGAAGCCAGGTGAGAGTCGCCGGACGGGGGCTGGTGAGAACCGCTCATGCACGCCAGATGAGATTCGCCGAGCGGGTGCTGGTGAAAACCGCTCACCGACGTTAGGTCAGTCTTCGAACGGGGGCCGGTGAGAACCGCTCAGCGACGCCAGGTGAGTGTCGCCGAGCGGGTACCGGTGAGAACCGCTCACAAAGGAGATAAGTGCTCGCTGAGATGGGCGGAGAATCGTACGACGCACATAGAGCGAGTGAGAAACGCTCAGTAGAAGCAGGTGAGATCGCTCACTTGAAGTGGTGACTCACAGCGAGGCCGGGTGAGTTGCGGAGACCAGACAAGAGTCGCTTGACCAGGAGATGTTATAAAGGCCATCTAACCAGGACTTGTAAGAATTATCGCGTGCAGAATGCCGCTCACGAGGGGCAGTGAACCGATTGTCGATGCTGGGCTCGAATGGTTCACCCGGGGCAGAGAACAGCTCACCAATATCAGTTTAGAACTGTGCACAAAGTGCAGAGAATCTCCCGCGGGGTAATCGCTAAAAACGGGCAGACAACCGCATGTAAGAAGTAGAGAACCGCAGATATGGAGTTAGAAAACCACATGCGGAGGGCAGGGGCTGTTTGCTGAGGCCCCAGAGTTCAAATGAGAGGCGGTAAGCATGGACCAGTTATAAGGCACGCCTCATACCTAGAACAAGGAAGGAGGCGAAACAACCTACTTGGGGAGCGCATCGATGAGACAGGAAGCGGCAAGGTTCTCGGGGTTTACTGAATGAGGACTTGTAAATCATTACAAGGAAGGTTGGTTATTCCTACAAGTGTCCGCGCTTCCGAGGTGTCAATAACAGTCGGCAACGTAACAACTTCGACTTTCTCCTGAGAATACTTGGTTTGCCGGCTCCCGATCCCAGATTCCCAGGCCCAGTTCCGAACCCAGCGATTCCAAGGAGGAAGTTGGGTTGAGATGCGTACATGACTGAAGCCCGATCATGATTCAGATGGCCGGAGCATTAACTGGCCGAACGCTGCGTGTGCACCGACCATAGCCATGACCATCTTCAATTTTGTAACCTTCGCAGGAGGAGACAAACTGAAGACGAAGACGTGTGCCTCGACCTGGAGCTGGACACCCTCGGGTTGAGCCCGGACCTGACCGCGGCGGACCCGCTCATCCTGCCGCGCGCGGAGCGTCCGCCGTGGGTCGGGCCTGCGCCGGAGCTGGCGGCGCCGACGGTCGACGCCAGCACGTCGGTCACGTCGCTGGCGGGCCGGCCGCCGGCCGAGGGGCTGCAGCGCAGCATCCGCCAGCTGTTCGCCGACGAGGCGCTCAGTCCCGGCCTGCGCGGCACGGTGACAGCCGAGCTGCGCCACTTCATGGCCAACAGCGCCGACGACGCCCTCAAGAGGTACGGACGGCCCTAGGGGCGGTCTGATGCCCCCGCTGATGTGGAGCGGGGCGGACGCGCTTTGTTTTCGTGCTTCGCCGTCGGTGGCGACGCCGGCTGGTGACGCATGGGATTGATGTGGGTTCTGACCCATAACAGTACGAAACATGGCTTGATTTCTTGATAAAGTGGATGGAATCGATCCCATTGGAAAGATTTTACGGAAGGAAGAGCTCCATGGTCTGCACAAAAGCTCCTGCAGAGTGTATCTGTATTTGGTTAAGCCGTGCTGACATAAGCTGACAGCACACCTTGCGTTCCATTTGCTGCACATGGAAGAAAGGTTAGAATGGGCATATGAAATTTTCATTTTCATTTGAGTTCATAAATCATTGTTTCCAACATGTAATGATGACACAGTCCAGTCCTTGTCTCATATGGGTGATTTCGGAATCGATTCAGGCTCATTCCCGGAGTCAAGCAGAAGTCTGGTGCGAGATGGCACTGCTTTGGTCAGTGCTACATTCCATAGCTCGTTCCAGACTGGTACGGCAAGTCATTGAGCAAACTTCCTGTTACGTTGTTTCCTCCCTCCCCGTCTCCATAGCAGCAGCCGGTAGCCCGCCCAGTACAATCCGCGCTCCTCAAACTTCCTGTTACGTTGTTTCCTCCCTCCCCGTCTCCATAGCAACAGCCGGTGGTCCGCCCAGTACAATCCGCGCTCCTCAAACTTCCTGTTACGTTGCTTCCTCCCTCCCCGTCTCCATAGCAACAGCCGGTGGTCCGGCCAGTACAATCCGCGCTCCTCAAACTTTCTTATACTGTTTCTGACATGCCTGTGCAGCCTGTGCAGCAGCATGCCTGTGCAGCACGGCCTCACGCGTTTAGATCCTACATGACGTGAGTTTACCAAAACTCGTTGTTGCAGTCTCCCGGAGGCCACGATACACCAGCTGGTGGACGAGTTCATCGCAGACGCCGGGGTGGACATATTCCTGTACCAGCTGTTCGACCAGGAGTTTGAATTGCGCTGATCCCAGCCAAAACTGGCACTGGTGGTGACGCCACTGGTGTGCGAACCGCGAATCATCGATCGAGAGTGCCTGCATTGCGCCGACAACGAAGTCTGGTGCGAAGTCTGACTTGCTGCCGTGACTGAACTGCCGTGCGTAGAGTATATTCAATATATCATCTGGTTCGTTATGCTTTCCCAGACAAGGGTTTCCAAATGTTTCCCGTCCACCGCCGTTGTCATAGTGTGTTCATCGCTCACCCCGCACAGTCATGGTCCGTTTCTTAAAATATGAGACGGCGATCCATGATTGCAATAATAGAATAAACTGTCATGCGAATCAAATAAACAGCTAGACCGTGCTGAATCCAAGCACTTCTTGTGTTGTTTCACAGCACGGTAACAATTATGCGCACGCCGTTCGCGTTTCAATCACACAGCCAGTACACCCATCGCCCATTCGCGCCCTTCCGCAAGGCGAACCAAAGCCAAAGGCTCATATTGTCGGCACGTAACAAGCTTCATCATCCGATCACGGCCCCGCGGGCGCAGTCCATCTCCACCGCACAGCTGGTGAGACTTCGAGACGACTGGCCGAGCTGGAACTGGAGCGACGGACGTTGAAAAAGCCATGGGTAGCCAATCGCTCTGCTAGCGCGACTGGCGCGACGACGGCTGGCCGCTCCTGTCATCCGATGGCCGAGGGCTCAGCTGGAGCAGCTGACGCTGAGCGTGGCGGCCCAGTCGGGCGGAGGCGCCGCGTACCCGCGCTCCTCGGCCGCCAGCTGCTCCCGGTACGGCTCGCGCAGGATCTCCAGCAGCGTCTCCAGCTCGTCGAACTCGCCGCGCTCGGCGCCCTCGATGGCGCGCTGTGCCACCCAGTTGCGCAGCACGTAGCGCGGGTTGGCGGCCCGCTGCGCGGCGCGGCGCGCCTCCTCCGACACGCCGTCGGCCGCCAGCTGCGCGGCGTACGCCGCCGCCCAGTCGGCCCAGCCGGCCGCCGCCGCCACGCTCTTCAGCGCCCAGAGCGGGCCGGCGTCGCCGTCGCGCAGCTGCGCCAGCGAGGCGTCGCCCAGCTGCCGGAACGTCATGGTGAAGTCAGCCGCCGTCTGCTGCATGAGCGCCAGCAGACGCTGCGCCAGCCGCTCGGCCTCGGCGCTCGCCGGCAGACCGAGCCGGGCGCTGAATCTGCGCCGCCACTCGGCCGCGAACGCCTCGCTGTAGGTGTCGAGCGCGCGCTCCAGCCGGCCCGCCTGCTCGGTCGTCAGCAGCGGCCGCAACGCCACGCTCAGCTTTTGCACGTTCCAGCGGCCGATGCGCTCCTGGTTGCCGTACGTGTAGCGGCCCATGTCGTCTGAGTGGTTGGGCACGAAGTCCGGGTCGTACGCGTCGAGGAAGCCGAACGGGCCGTAGTCGATGGTCACGGAGAGGATGCTCATGTTGTCGGTGTTCATCACCCCGTGCGCGAAGCCGACGCTCTGCCAGGCGGCGATCATGCGGCCAGTGTCTGCCGCCACCCGGTGCAGTAGCTGCTCGTAGCTGTCGTCGGCCGCCAGGTCGATGTCCGGGAAGTGCCGCTGGATGACGTAGTCGGCCAGCAGTCGGAGGTTCTCCACGTCACCGTCCGTGGCCAGCATCTCGAACGAACCGAAGCGGAACCAGGAGTGCGCGAGCCGCAGCACCACGGCCGTCCGCTCCAGCACCGGACGGCCGTCGTAGAAGGCGTCACGTGGCACGCGGTCGTCGCTGATGACCAAAGTGGCCGCCCGGGAGGTGGGCACGCCTGCCGAACCGGAGGCGCACGTCACTGTCGGTCGCGCCGGGTCGCGCCGCTGTCAGCTGGCACAGTGGCAGCGTGCTGGTCTCATCAATAACTCGAGATACTGCACACAGGTGGCCACAGCAGCCATGTGCATGATAACGCCAAAATGTGCCATGTGAATGCGCCAAAATGTACGTGATAAGTTACGCTGTCACGTGTCACGCGTACCGTTACTCACCGTGAAGAACTCTACTCTGTCCCTAAAATCAATTGGCGGTAATAGAAGCGCATGGCCGGCAGGCCAGCTGGAGCCCACCTCTCGATCAGCCACAGCGGGATGCTCGAGCGCTGGCGGCGGTCAACCGCGCCACTCACCCAGGAAGTGCATGGCCTCCGAGCAGAGGAACTCGCGCACGGAGGAGCGCACCACGGCGCGGCCGTCGCCGAACCGGGAGTAGGGCGTGCGGCCGGAGCCCTTCAGCTGCAACTCCCACCTCTCGCCGCGCCTGCCGGTCACAGCCGCGGTCAGCGTCATACCCAGATCGCAGAGACACGGTCACAACTGGGCAGCTCTGACAGGCGGGAGGCACTTAACAGGAGGCAGAAGGCTACCACACATTGGCAGATATGGACTGAGGCACCAGTGGGAACTGTACTTCCATCGGTCGAGCGCCGTGCATTTCACGCAATTGGCCAACTACTTACGCGGGCCCACAGAAAGCACTGAGGGTGTGCTAATACAAGACATCTGTTAGCACCGAAGAAAAGCTAATAGATGTTTTAGCACATGTCCTTTCATTTCATTGGTTCATTTCACCCTACTTAGCAGCCTATAAGGCTTAGCTTAAAGGGTAAGATGGATTTGCAACTTTGACCTCTCATATCCGTGATAATCATCTTTGCCGCGGCTGGACAGGGTAACAATTTCTGATCACCTTTTTACGGGTGGTTGCGTAACTACAAAAAAGCGACCAAGTCCGGTCGGAACTGGCCGAGCGGTGGCAGCCAACGCGGTGATGCTCACCGGTTGGTGTACTCGCCGAGCAGGTGGGCGCGACCGTCCCCCAGCTGTTCGGCCCAGTAGCCGAACTGGTGGCCGCCGTAGCGGTGCGCGAGGGTCGGCACGCCCGGCAGCGCGTCGTTGCCGGCCACGATGTCGACGAAGTGCGGCAGGCGCGCCGTCTCCGGCTCCAGGTCCAGCAGCGCCAGCGCCGACTCGGACGCGGCCGCCAGCCGCACGGCCGAGCGGAACGGAGTGGGCCGCACGGCCGAGAATATCGCGCCGCGCACCGAGAAGCGCACGTTGTTCTCCTTGTTTGGGTCCAGCGGGAACGCCTCGTACGTCTCCTGGTGCCACTTGAGTGTCTCTTGCACAAATTGTGTGAAGTCGCACATTGTGTCAAAAATCTGGGTGGCTTGGCAGAGGAAGGCAGTCAGATTCAGATTGGTGTTGTAACAGCTTTGTGCTGTGATTGTCCAGTGGCTTATCTTCCCAAAATGTTGTATCTTGTCAGAGGATGATTTTTCTAGAAGTTGCAGGAAATCACTTTGCGTGACCAATGCATGGCTGACCACAACAAAGGTTAATACCAAGCATTTAAAAATGCTAACCATAAGCATTCATAGAACAGATATTATATTACCTGATTAGCAGTCACTTGACTCCCTGAGGAAAGTATCTAGGATGAACAGCAAGTACACAGCAGGTCAGCATAGTAATATAACAGTCAATGGCTCTTTGCTTGCATGAAATATCCACTGTTTTTGGTGTTGTATATTCAGCCAGACAGTATCCAATGACAAACAATATTGCATGAGCATCTATGTTGTAAAGATATAACAACATGCACTGTACTGTTCATTAATTTTCACCAGCAAACATTCCATGTTACACTTAAGCATGAGCATGCATTGAAGATGAACACACATGTTTTGATTCACAAGCCAGAAATGATTTTAAATGCACAACTGCTGATATCCATGCTTCTATGATGACTTAATTTTGAAGCCTACCTGCTGACAGTGAATATAAAGAACCTGATAATGGTGAAATAAACTGACATAAGCAGGCATGTCAATGCCAAAGCATGGCTTTTTCCCCTGACCTAATCCTTCAAAAATGCATCAGTAAACTGAAGTCCTGTTAGGTGTTAGATGCATCTGCATCCAAAGCAGCAGGGATGCCAAACTCCAATGCAACAATACATCCATCATAGTAATCATTGGTCATGGAGCTAACTGATAAGCCACTGAAACATTGAGACAACAGATAGAAAATGATGGTGCCCAAGTAAGCTGGCCATATTCCTTAATGCAGGACAAGGACCAAGTGCATGTACTCTCTGAAAGGTCCTCTGACCAAGGGAGCACATCATAAAGAGAACATATTAAGATTTTTGGAAGTTCATTTGGGAAAACATACATGGCAGGTCATGTTCCACTGTTTGATTTCATCTTTAATGCTTTGAAACACTGTCGCTTTATGCCTGAAATTGGTGGTAAATGTGCATCAAATTTTGGGCTCTCAGATTTATGGTGAGCATGCTTTGAAATAATTGCTGGGATGTCACGGTCATATCAGGAATGTTCTATGCAAGACACACTTTGGCAGTCGGGCACCCATTCAACGCACCATCATCGCAAAACATCCGGCAGCTAACAATCAGATCAGAAAATCACATGATAATATATTCGTGACATGCAGACCTGCAATCCCCAAAACTCTGCGGAAACGCTTTAGCCCCTATAATGCCCAAGCAACTCCCCACACCGACGTTACATGCATCAATTGCTCATCGATGCTTTTTTCGAGGGAAGTGCACCGCGCCAGGAATAGAACTTATGCGCGGTGCTATAACACAGATAAATGCTACCAAATCCCTGCCAACTACCTTGACCTCTCTAGAGGTCACTGCACGTCGCTGCCCTGGAAGAGTGGGAATCTGGATTATCACGTGCCATTTGACGTCACAACAAATTTTCACTTGGCATTGTGTTCGACTCTTCAAAAAACGTAGGGCTGATTAGGATCATTGCTTGTGTGTTGCCTGTTTTAGAGTGTAAATTGGTTTGTAACAGGTACTTCACTTCCATTTTTTTTCAAATTTGTTTTATTTTATGTCATATCTGTAGCACCTCAGGGCCGCCAGCGGATCCGATCGGTGGTGCTATTGTTGCTCAAAGTATTCTGCATCGGTCCCACGATCCTGGAAATCTGCAGTCGGGGAGGGGAGTTGGACCCTTTGGGAGCGCGGAATCGGTACGTGAAAGTGGTTAAGGTATAGAGACAGGTAGTTGCAGTAGCATTTCAAATGCTTAGCTGCCTGTGCGCAGACAATCAGGCCTCGAAGATGCCTCGCAGATTCTTTGTGGGAGGAAACTGGAAGATGAACGGGGATAAGGCGAGCATCGACGGCATTTGTGAATTCTTGAAGCAAGGCCCCTTGGACAAAAATGTGGATGTCGTTGTTGGAGTTCCGGCGGTGTACCTTGAGTATGTTAAGGCAAGGTTGCCTGAGGATGTGCAGTGCGCTGCCCAGAACTGCTATAAGGAGCCAAAAGGGGCTTTTACAGGCGAGATCAGCCCAGCTATGTTGAAGGACATTGGGGTGGAATGGGTAATCCTGGGACACTCAGAGCGTCGAAATATTTTTGGAGAATCAGATGAATTGATTGCTGAGAAGTGCTGCCATGCCCTGGACAATGGTATGAAAGTCATCCTCTGCATTGGAGAGATGTTGGAGGACAGAGAGGCAGGCAAGACCGAAGAGGTAGTGGTGCGTCAGCTCACTGCATGCGCCAAAAAGATTAAGGAGTGGGCAAATGTTGTTGTGGCTTATGAGCCTGTCTGGGCCATTGGTACGGGCAAGACTGCAACTCCTGCTCAGGCTCAAGAAGTCCATGCTCAGATTCGGAACTGGATGAAGGAGAAGATCAGCCCAGATGTTGCAGATGCAACTAGGATCCTGTATGGAGGATCTGTGTCAGCAGACAACTGCAGAGAACTGGCAAAGCAGCATGATGTCGATGGATCCCTGGTGGGAGGAGCATCTTTGAAGCCTGACTTTGTAAAGATAGTCAATGCCAATGTCAAGTAAACATCTTGTCCACGTTGGCATGCTTCTGGAGGCTGGAGGCTATTTAATGCATATATGCATTATGGATGCAGATTCATGGTCTGGCTTGATATTTAGTCATTTCTTTTCTGGCACAATGTGATAGCTGTTATACCATGGACATATAAATGTGACAAAATAAATTGTGGCAACCAATTTTGTGTTCAGAAACTGGCTGTAGCTGCACAGATCCTGTTTTCCATATACACCTGTCCATCTGGAAGTTGCCCATCCATGCAACATGCTCTTGTCTGGTTTTATAGTTTCTGAAATCAACTGTGACTCTGGCTCAGCACATTAAATCGACTAACCTGCCCCTTAACAGCACAGAGTTATTGGATTTGGTTATGGTACTGATGATGCCTTATAATCCAAGCATTTTTTTCTGATGCAGCTGATCCAAGTGCAGACACCTAGTAAGCAAGTCTTTGCCTTTTGTTCATACAGCCTGCATAGCATTACCATTTTTATAGTAGCAGTCTTAAATGATTGTGATCTGATGGATGTATGACCAATGAGGCTGTCATGTATAGGTACTGATATGCACCATTATTTGTACTTAGATCATTTCATATTTACTCATCCATGCTGTTGCATGCACTGCTCCATTGCTTGAGTTGATTCAACCATTAGCTTGGTGGGGATCAAACCTGATGCAGGCATGCATTAAGTAAAAGCATTGCTCCCATCCTGAGTGGATGAAAATTAATACATTTTGCAATCAATTCTGACCACACCCAGAGCAAGACCCTGCTAAACAGCACCTTTCCGTTGGGGGGGGGGGGGGGGCAGGGATGGTTGGTAAGGAGGCATGACATTCATGGAGCCTTTGATCAGGGCGTCCCGGGGCCACCAACGTGTCCAAATGTGGCGGAGAGACGCCATTAGCCATGGTCCCACCCGATGTTCACCGAGAATGTTTCAGGAAACCCCAAGACCACAAGGAATAAGGCGTACTGAGGGCATTCGCAAATACTGAATGGAATGCGGCCCACGCTTCCTCCCAGCTCCCGGAGGTCCTGGGGATGGCAAGGGACCGCCGCATGAAACCTACCTACTGGCCATCTCGTAAAAAGGCTGTGAAGGATGAGGGAGGAGGATCCCATGTACCCTGGCACACTTAGCCACAAACGAGTCCGACATGGCTCAATGTCAGTTGTAGGCGACCGAAGCCGGTCGCGAAGATACATCGCCGTTACGCTCAGCAGGCAAGGGCTGCAGGAGCGCCGCCGATGAACGCCGCGCTGGCATGCTGTGATCCGCTCGACTGCTGGTTGGAATTGGCGGTGATTAGAGCTGCTTGCTGTAGCCCGCGGAGATCAGAGCTGCCTGTCAGAATCGGCGCAGATTGGAGCTGCCTGTCAGAATCGGCGCAGATTGGAGCTGCCTGTCAGAATCGGCGCAGATTGGAGCTGCCTGTCAGAATCGGCGCAGATTGGAGCTGCCTGCCAGAATCGGCGGAGATTGAGCTGCTTGCCGTAATCGACGGAGATTGGAGCTGCTTGCCAGAGCCGGCGCAGATCAGTCGGCCTGCCAGGGCTAGTGGAGATTAGAGCTGCCTGCCAGAGCCGGCGGAGACACTAGGAATAGCGCCTTGTGGGCGTGCATCGGAGCCACCCGTACAATTGCAATGCACGTCATACCGCAATCATTGCATACCAAGGCACTGACACGGACGGAACTCGGCGCCGCGGTTCCGTCGGACCAAACCAAAGTTCCCAGTATTGCCGCTAGATGGAAGCTGCATACCGCCGTTTGCCATTGGTTACGCGCAACACGAAATGCCAAGTCCCAGGACTCCTCGAGCGTAAGGGAAGCATTCGTTAACCAGGTAGATGTTCTTGCGCTTTGTTCTTCTGACACGAATTCCGAGCAGACTGTTGGCATGCCGACGGCGTCTTCGTCCCATGGTGTATGCCTCAAGATATCGGACGGGGAGCGCGGAAGTCAGCCCAGGTACTACTCATACTCTTTGTACAGCCATAAAATGACTATAGCGTCACATCTGCCTCGTACCGGGTGCAAGCTGACTTACGGACGGCTAGGACAGTGACTTGGAAGTTTTCAGTGCCTTCCACAAAATCAAGCACCAAATATAGCTTGCGTAAATGCTTGGTTGACCCATGCTAGGTCTTGTCAAAAGCACAGACGTCACCACGGGGCGAGGGACGGGGTTGTAGAGGCGGTTCACTCCACCTCCTGCAGGTGGTGATCCGCTGAACGGCTTCGAGGCTGGCCTAGTTTTTACATCGACAGAAATGGTCTATCTAGGAGATATGAAAAGTGGTTCGCATCGTAGATGCGTTACGCATCGCTTCAAGCATCTCAAGTCGGTAATTGAAAAACCATGCCAGTGAAGGGCAGCAAGTTTCTCTGAATACACTCATGTCCGCTCTTTTCAAATACCCTTCCGTGCAACCTCCAGGACACATGGCGTTATCTCAGCCCAGTTTCGTTTTCCGCATGATTCTTATTGGGACGCTTTATGATATGCACCGTATCAAGCCCATTCGGTTCGGCACAGGCTGGGGAGGGGGCGTCTCAATGCCTAACTTGGCATTTAAGCATAACACCCAGTGGCTTGGTGTGGTTCATGACCCAGTGTACACGCCATTTTTGCCGAAAATTCACCCTCATGCCCAAGGCATACGAAATTCATGAATCAATCACGCCATGTGTACTTGCGCTTCGTTACGATAATTTCTGAGAGTCGTCCTGTTGAACATAACGCCAACGACGGCTTGTGGGCCAGAAGTGACCGTTCTGTTTGACCGGTTCATGATTTCGTAAGCTCAGTTTCATGCCATTTGTACTTGGATGATGTCAGTGTTGATTTTTTCTGAGCTGGCCATCACGCTGAGCCGTCTTGTCCTGATGCGACTTTGTTACCTACTGCCTGTTTTTGCCTTAGTCCTGGACCTAGTGTTATTTCGGTTCATCGGATAATTTACTTTCCTACTTTTTGGTCATACAGGGCATCAGGAGACCCCTCTCGCGTCTCGCTCCGTGTCAGGGTCAACCCGCTTTGACCAGTAGTCCGCAAATGCTTTCATGGCAGCCGGAGATAACCGCCATGGCTTCAGGTGTTCTGACGTACTGTATTTCTGGGGCAAGACGAACATAACGCGTTCTTGGCACGTTCCTGCTTATCTCTGGATTGGACATGCATATTTCTAAGCACTTATCGACGCGCTGGTTCCGCCGTCAAGCGATTTCACCAGAACCTGGTTTCACACTCACATCCGTTGAACATGAACAGCACCGAAAGTGCCAATGTCACGCATTGTGTAAGAGAAGGCAACTTCTCGGTCCTGGAGCCGAGCTACCAGCTGGTGCTAAACGCCTCCAGTACGGCGCGGTAATCGTCGGAGACGGCAACGTCTGTAACTCCACCGGTGGTTTCTGGAAGTTCGATCTTTTCCACACTTGTCACAGATAAATTTCCTGTTAATATAACTGTGCTTCAAGCGCTTTAAACGTATTTGCATGTTTTTAGGTAAGAACTATAACGCTCAGAGATAGGGCCATTCTAATCTACATAGCAACGGATGTGGTGCGGAAAGAAATGTGCGGTAAAAATGTATCCACACCCTCCCCCAGTTAACTCCTGACATGTGGGGGAGGACGTCATGCCCCCAAACACGTCTGAGGTGCTATCGACAGCACCGAATC